CTAACCAATCACTTCCTTTAACTGTGTCATACATGTGCCACCGCCAGTCATCTTCAGTCATATTACCCAATGCAGCATTTATACCACCCTGCAAGCAATTTCCCCCTCATGGTCAACAAATTATCAAATAAATAATCTACATTTGCTGAGAAAAAATTGAAACTTGAGGTGTTCTTTATTTCTTTTTTTTTGGAAGGTAATACAATATATGGTAATCCATTATATATATACTATATTGCTGGATTACTACAAATAGTATTAGTAGTCAAAAATAAAAGAAATGAAAAGGAAACCCAAAAACAAGAATGCTAATAAACGAGCCCTTTTCAGTACCTGAGCAGCAACAGTGTGTGAACGAGTTGGGAAAAGCTTAGTAATGCAAGCAGTATTGAATCCATGCTCTGAGAGACCTATGGCTGCTCTAAGCCCTGCACCTCCAGCACCAACCACAACTGCATCATATGTATGATCCACTATAGTGTATGATGATCGCCCCTGCAATTACGCATAAATTTAATACCAGATGCCTTTTCAGTTCTATCTTTTCTAGTTTTTGACAAAATAAATTTTACCAACCATAAATGACAACACAACAGAACAATAAATGATTGAAGAAACAACATTTCCAGTACATTACATGATCTAATTAGGACGGTACTATTCAGTTCAACACTTCGGTACTCTTTGCTAGTTTTGCTTTGTATGTCAACTTGGCATAGCTAGATGTACGGTGGTAACAACTAAGACAGATATACAGCCAACTAAAAATAATCAAAAACTAAGAATTTCGTATTTTTCTTCCTTGTGCTGTATATTTCTCAGCAGCCAAACAGGATTTATAGGAAATCATAAAAAATAAAAAAAATCAATCAGAATATGTACAAATCATCAAGATGACATAAAATCCATGAAAATAAGCTCTAAAAAATCTACAGATTGAGGGAAGAAGAAGAAAACATACAGAATCGGTGGATAAGAATCTGGATATCTGAGATCTGAGAGTGTCATTGGAAATCCATCTCTTGGAACACGACGGAGCTCGAAGGCTTCGAGAGACGCAGCGCCACATCCTCTCTCTCTCTCGGCTTATCTATGCGCCTAGCTTTTGCTGAAAAGGTGGAGGAGCTATCTGCTTACTTTCCGAGCACTGAGGCGCGTGTGCTACTTCGAACCTAGGAATTTGTTTTTGGAGCAGATGAGGGAACTGGGAAAGTTGATTTTAAGGGAAGAAGCTGGAAAACGGTTTTATATGAATGCTGAATTGCTGATGCATGTGATTTAATATTCTACTAATTTTGCCTTGGTTTCTGAAGATAAATACTAAAATGCCAACATTCCAAGCCAATTTATTTAATCATTTTCACCTAATTACCAAAGGGACGCGTTCGATTCGGATAAAAAAGAGAAAAAAGGGGTTGGTGGGTTTGGAAAAGTATTTTTTCACAAAAGTATACTGCAACTTTTCAAATAATAATAATAATAATAAAACACATTGTCATGGATAATACAGCAATCACAAGTCATTGAATTTAAATAATTTATTTAATAATATATAAAAATTATATAAAAAATTTATTTTTATGACATTATTTTTTTAATACATGAAAGAGTTATTTACTTAATAATATAAAAATTTTAATTTAAAGTTAAAATTTTAATTAATTAAATAAATAAATAACAATTTCGCTGTAAACTCTAGTTCAGATGCTTAAAGAGGGCTTCGTTTTGCCTAATAAGTAATGACTCAAGCTTTGCCACGTGCAACACAGAGTCCCGGGCCACGTCAACGGAACCTTGGATGGCGCTTTTTTTAGCCACGTCAGATTCGGCAGGAGACCTTGGCCACGTTGATTCGAGCCCCGCCGTTAACATCCAATTTCCAAACAGTGCCAATTGATTTTTTTTCCACCATTAAAGTTTACAAATTTTTTTTTTTTTTTTTTTTTTCTGTGGTCCTAATTCCGTACATTATGCAAAACCAACGGATCATGATCATGACAGTTCATGTGATGGGGGGCTGCGTTGGATCAGAGCATGGCTTTTAGATATATATATATATATACTATCCCTAATCCTGATGCGACAGCGATCAACGGCTTTGATTTGATGGAACTTGGACGACCCCACATGATTACAATGGATGCGTTGTATATTTTCTTCCCAAACTACGCCATCGCCCAAAATACAGTGTGGCTTTTGGCTGGACTTCATAAGGATGGTATCTTATGTTTGGTTATGATATGATTCTGTGAATATAAGATGTATTGTACAGCTTGTCCTATCTTTTTAAGGGATATGATTGGTGAAACAACCCCCCCCCCCCCCCCCACACAAAAAAAAGGGGATTTTTCAAAGATTGTGTGGAAAATTTTGTTTAGGATTGAAGCGAATTAATCTCCTTTTTATTTGATTTAACTGCATAAACAGTGAATAAAATGTTTTCTAAGTTAAATTACATAAACAAAAATACAGAAATATCCATGTAATTATTTATATATCTTTAATAAATTCTTATTATTTATTTATTAAAGAGATTTAATTAATTTTATAAAAATTTAAACATTTTTTTTATAAGTAATCCCAACTGTAATTATAACGGGCGAAATAAGTATTCATAATAATTTATAGTTTAAATATTCTTATTTGTTGTGAAAAAATGTATAAAAGTTATTATTAAGTGCCAAATTAAATGGGGCCTTTAACTTGGTTGAAAATACTCTTTGTTTCACTTAAATTTATATGTGTTAAGACTTTTCTAAATAAACAGGTTTTGAAGAAAATGGAAGAAGAATACTTTTGTTTTATGGGGAAAAAAAAAAGAAAAAAATGGAAAATGAAGTAATGAGTAACGCATGCTGTGGTATGTAGACTGACCTGCCATCTCCATGGATTGAAGAGTTGAGGCTGGTCAAAAAGACAAGAATCCAAGTGCACCGCTGCAATCACTGGTAGCACTTTCCACCCACATGGAATATCATACCCTTCCCCACCCAAAAATAAAAAATAAAAATCAATTAATAAGCAATTTTCATTTTTTTGAATTATTAAAATGAATAAAAATGTTTAATTAATTATCATTTTATTTAAATATCAGTAATGTGATCTGAAAATAAAAATGTTTGTATTTTTAGTTATAAATTTAAAATTCAATTTAAAAATAAAATTATTTATGTTATTAATTATAAATTTAAGATTCAATTGATGGTTACTAAAAAAAATATCTTTTTATTACTAACCTTTGTACCGGACATCCTTTAGAGCCTTTCTGTGTAGAAATCTCACCACATTCCCAAGCCTAAGCGTTTCATTAATAACCTTTAGAACAGGAAATAAAAAAAAAAAAAAAAAAGAAAAAAAAAAAAAAGAAAGAAGTGTTAGACAAAGGGGAATTGGTTTTAAGTTTCTTTCCATAAAACATATATGTACATACTTCAGATTACATTACATTAAAATTAATTAAAACAAAAGACCTTAAGTTACTTAAGTTAAATTAAGAAAATTAAAGAGCTTACACATTGTGTGAACTCCATTTTCTTGTAATCTTCCCAATTCAATTCCATCTCCCCTAGTTGCTTCTTGGCTCTGGCAATTTCAAGGTGTTCTACCTGTTTTTTTTTTTTTTTTGGAAAAAGAGGAAATTAAACAAACTGATTTAGATAGTGAAATGATTTTGCTTAATAATGTTGGGTGGTTGCTTACCCTTAACTGTTGAACAGCAGTGGGACACCCCGGCAAGAAGTAGATGGCTAAAGCTATGGCCACCGACGATGTCTCGTGGCCGGCGAAGAGCAGGCTCAGAATCAAGTCCAGGATTTGCTCCGTTGAGAGATTTGAATGCTTCAGAACCCACCCTAAAAGATCGTCTTCCTCCAAATTCTCCCTTCCTTCCTTCATCTTCCTTATCTTCTCTTCCATTTTCCCTTCAATAAACTTAAGTATGGTGGATCGAGACTGTGGAGAAAAGGACATCAAAAACACGAGAAACCTATTAACATAGCTCAAAAGCAAATTCATGGGGTTGAATTTTTTTTTTTTTTTTTTTTTGTGTGGAAAAACAAACCAAAAAACCCTACCTGTAAGGCCTTTCTGTATGCAGTTCCAGGCAAATTCAAAGGAGCAGAAACTACTCCTTTCATGAAAGTAACGTATTCTTTCTTCAGCTGCTCTGTTTCTGGATGTCCAGGGTCCATGCTCATGATATGGGTTGCCATCAAATTGAAGGTAAACTGGAAAGAAGAACCACTTTAGCTTTCTGTTGATCATAACTTCAAAAGATTTTAAAATTTTTTCAAAAAAATTTACCTTTTTTGCTTCATCTTGAGCTGGAAATACACAATCTTCTTTCCAAGAGTTCAGAACAAGCAGAGTATGCTTCTCGACTTCCCTCAAAAGATGAGTCCGGAGCCTGGCGTGGCTCAAGAAGTTCAAAGATATAGTCCTCATGTCTCTATGCATGTCTCCAACCAGAACTAACATTGACCATTTCCCAAGAATGCCACCGATACTCCTTGGATAGCTGCACTCGAACAATCTTCCTTCGTTCTGCAGTATGAATTTGTTGAGCCCTGCATCCGCAGAGACCACCGTCCGTTCGCCGAACAGATTCGATTTATAGATTTTCCCGTACCTGCATGTCGGATTTTTTGCATAATTAAACAGGGTGTTTGTAATTCAAGAAAAAGAAAATTTCTTGACTTTCCCGGCAAGTTTTGGGTACCTGGAGATGCGTTGTTGCATGAACTCTCCAATTGAAGTAGCAGAGTAAGGCTTCAAGTACCCGATCGTTTCTCCGATAAGCGGCCAACCCATGTTTCCGGGCGGCAGATTAAACCTGGTCCGTTTTCTCTTGATGAGAATGAAGAAGAGAAACAGGGTAAGGATGGAGGGAAGAAGCAAGACAACATACTCTGAGTCAGGCATGGAGACTGACTCTTTCTTTCTTTCCCCTTCTCTAAGTTTGTGGGTTTATTTAAACAAAAATCAGATATATACACTTCTACCAAAAAAGAAAAAAAAAATTATTCAATTGACATATAGTAGTTTCAAAATTTTCGAACGATACTGAAATGGTGAAATCTCACAATAATTTAATAAACCGTAAATGGGTTAATGGATACTAATTTACTTGTATTTTTTAATTAAAAAAACTAATTAACATTACTGTATAATATGAAATTGTGAAACAGGAAAAAGGAAGAAGAAGGGAGATTATAGATGAATAGTTTTTTTTTTTTTTTTCCTAAAAGAAACTTTTAAGTGATCGACCCTGTGCAGGGGGTTTTTTTTTTTTTTTTTTTCTAAAAGAAACTTTTAAGTGATCGACCCTGTGCAGGGGGTTTTGATGAAAACCGAACTTAAGGAAAGGTTCGAAGCCAATAGGCTGCTTTTATGCATAAACAAAACAGGGTCCTTTTGCTGCCCTTTAGGCGGAAAGTGGGTTAGCAAATTGGATTTGCTTGTATTTTTAAAAAAAAATTTAGTTTCTGATAACATATACAACTGTAAATAATGAAGGAAAAGCAAGTTCTGCCTCTTTTTAAACTCGCTTGTCGCTGTACTGAACTAACAACAGCAAAACCATCCTTTTGGAAGCTGGTGCATGATCTTATGATCTCTTTGGTTTTGATTGTAAGAGGTTGTTTATTATCCTTTTGGGTTGGTTAACCAAATAACCAAACAGGGCTAATTAACAATGACTTTTTTAAGAATAGAGTTCAGATTTTGATATAATATAAAAAGTGATATATAGGGTTATAATATAAGATTTATATTTAATTTAAAATTAATTTATAATAAATAAAATAATTTATTTATATTTAAGTTATATATATCTTTATTTTATATATTTAATGTAAAACTTTCTCACTTAAAAAAACAAATTTTGTCATTTATATTG